AAAAGGTTCAAGAGAGCTTCTACCTGGGAGATGGCTCTGCGACGGTCACTGAAGGGACTCTACAAGTAGCCTTCTTGCCATGCCGGAGGTACACCCCTGCGTGATCTCATGAAGGAGGGGTAATTGGTTTAGACCAGAAGAACGCGAGGCGTCATCAGGCTTGAAGATCTCTGTGAGCAGTGATGGATCAGTATGCATCTCAACCGACAGCATGCAGTTGGCCGCTGATCTGGTGGGACGTGTCTATGGCGACTCGGAAGCTTCAAGTCAACAGATACAACACCTTTGCGATGTTATGAGTGTAAAGGAATTGGAGTCAGTCTGCAGGTGGTTCGCTCCGTGCTGGACAGGATTAGTAGGGAGTTTCCTCAGCTTTCCGAAGACCATGGTAGACGTCCAAGAAGCGATGCAGCTTATCGAAGAGTACGACAATCTCCGACAGAAAATGTCGGCAGATACGGCGGAGTCAGCACAGACAGTGTAGATCATCTAGCCCTCTCACATCCCTCAGCGTATCGTACAGGAAGGGGTTGCTCGTAAGGATGGAGGACTTGAGGCTCTGTGACTATACTCTTGAGATGAGGAAGACTATGGTCTTCTTACAGAAACTCAGCCGTGGCATGATAGCGGAGTAAAAGCCTTCATGTTGGTTTCCGACCATGTTGTTATCCATAGTCACAACAAGCGTCGGAATAACCATGGGATGCTCCTGGACGCGCTGAGGGGGTTGAACCTTCTGATCAATCGTGGTAAGCTTAGGAGGATCCGCACTGTTTAATCATCTTCGCAGGGGCCAGTCTCCGAGTTGGAAGGGCCCAAGCAGCGGTGATCGCTGAATGCAAGAAGGCAATCAAGAACAAGGATGCGGCTACCCTAGTTGGTGAGTCAAGTATGACTGCCGTCGGCCATTCCGGGTCTGCAGGTGTGATCTCGCAGGGGGGCTATCTTGGTCCATCAGCATGATGTTGATGTGCTTATCTTTCATCATCATTATCATTGATTATGTGTGATAGTCTCAATCATTAGAGTGCACTTCTTTGAGGGTACTCGAGCCGACCGAGTACACACCTCTTTTCCGTCAAAAAATTACAATGGATTGCGCCTGCTAACTATGACGGAGAGAAGACTCAACTATAAACGTCTGTGGATATCTACATTCTGAGGACCAGTGGGCATCCGGGCAGGGTCAGTCGGAGGTATGTTAGGCAGGTCAGCTCCTGTAAATCAATGAGGATTTGTGTATCGGCTGCTGCTATCCAGCGCAGCTCAGTACGAAATTACGCGAGATGAAACAAGTTTGGTTCATCGAGCTGGGTGAATTGAGTATTGGTGTTTTCTGAATTGGGTAGTACAGTTGTTATATACATTTGCCACTGCACTCTCCCAACGCAACACGAACCATGGAGCCGGAAGCTCTCGTGATCGTCGACGGTTACTTGTAGATCCGCTAACAATGCCAACGAGTCACAGAAAGAAAGAAGAGCCATTCATAACCAGTACATCCTCAACGACTTGCGATGTGACATCGCTTAACCTGGCGAGTCACAAACCGTAGGCTCAATAGTTTGGTCATAGACCTTGTAATAAGGGTCGGAAAAGAGTAGAGAGATATCAATGGCTATAAGCATGGTTGATTTCGAACATTGGTGTAGATCTCAACTAGATGTGTTGTCTTATGACGTAGGACATGTCGGCTTCGTCGTAGTCGGCTTCGTCGTAGTCGGCTTCATCGTAGTTGATCCGCCACCACCACATTTACAGGGGATATCAGTACCCTGGCAAACACCTCCACCGGGACCAGTCTGGTAAGCAGCCTTGCAATAGGAGCCGGAATTACCAGACTGCTTCTGACAAAAAGCATCACCATCAGGACATGATCCACCAGTGGGAGTGGGTGGCGGCGGTGCTGGAGTAGTGGTGCAAGAGCAGGGGGTGTCAGTTCCCTGGCAGACATTGTGACCTTGATAGAACTTGCAGTACGAACCGGGACTCTCACTGTGACACTGAGCATCCCCTGTGGGACAAGAGGACTGCCCAAGAACCAAAACGGCCAGGCAGGAGTACAGACCAACAATGAAGCGCATGATTGCGTTGAACAGCGGGATAGAGATTCAAGAGTGACGCGAGTTCATCAAGAGTTCCACACAACTCACTTAGCTATGTGTATGCGTTCAATGCGTCCGGTCGATAGACATCGTTATAGCGTCTCGCCTTACAACATAGAGTCCATTTAGAAGGATTCAGCGTTACGAAATCAAGTGACTCGAGATTATGATTTCCAAGCTAGTGCGAGATTCGTGGAGAAATGCCCTTTGATGGACAAGACTGTGTTGCTCCGCGATACATACTCACGCATACAATGAAGGGAGCGTGAAGGGATATCTGTTGATGTCTACTAGCAGAACCCGTCCCTCCGCTCCTAAGTTCTCTAGCTCGCTGACGCTCAAGGGTTCTAGTGGAAGATTCGACTCGAGGGATGCACATCGTGGAGCACTTGGCTCCGACGAGACGAATCCAACATAAAATCTATGGATTTGAGACACGTTCCTCATGTGTTGCGTCCCACTAGCCCGGGCCCTATTCTTGCTCCGGTTAGTTCACTACAAGCCGGAGCAAAGCGATGGGTTCGGCAAGTGCAAAGCACCTTGCTCACCGCAGTCCCACCCACTTGTCGAAGTCGACAAGCCCGCCCTTGAGCCATGAAATGATCAGTGATACCGTGAGGTCCCGATGGGGAATGGAGCCATGATCTCTGCCATCGGCAGATCCACAATCATCCAACTCACCAAGGGACCTACCTCACCCAACAAGGGATCCGGATCATCCATGGCATGATGGGTGCACAGTAACATACTACCGCTAAGATGAGGGATTCCTGAATCATCTAGATCTGCTTCTACTTTCTGCTAACACAAGAGAGCTGTTGAGCTGAATCAACGCACCTTCTACTGCTACCGGTCAGCTCTGCCATCACATCAATTACAAACGGCGCAACCATGGCTGGGAAGTACGAACCCTGCCACTTTGGTCTCCATCGAACATCAGTGCTCACCGTCACACTGGCCTGTGGGGAGTTCCATCGCCGATGACTCGGACCGCATCCGGAAACTCCCACCTCTCACCTGCCGCAGATGTTCGTTCGCCCGCAAGACCGATCCGATAATGGTTGGGCTCATTACGAGAAGTGCCTCTTCGATGTACATGTCGACGCACGACGAGTCCCTCGGCCACCGCCCGAACGCTCTGGTTCATTCGATTTGGCTGCGTTCGAAACCTGCCTTCGCCAGCATTTGGCACCCTCCCCGTCGCAGACTGTGCAATCTCCTAAATCTCTTCGTAACCACTCTCGGAGAGATGCTTTTCGCAGAAGTTGGCCTACGGCATCGGCTGAAAGTTGATCTTCCGCAGACCCCTTCTTTATTCGCCTCATATCCAACAGTATTCGAGCCGCTTTCACGGGGCAAAGCTCACGGCCGATTTCCCTGATATTCTGTACGCATGTACACCCATGCTCCCTACTCCCTGGATATTAGTTCTGCTCACCGTACCATAAAGTTCTACTCTTTTGTTTCCCTCGTCCACTGCGACGTTTAATAGTTTGAGATTACACAGTTCCGCCCCCCTCAACAGGAACCAGCTCCCGAGGATGTAGCTAACCGCTCTGCGTTTCTCCTGTGGGCTGTGGCCACTGAGCTGCACTGCTCTCAGCTCCATTGGGAGCTGCTTCGGGGGCCTAGCTCGCCTGGGAGGCCCCAGTCCTCGCTTGAGGGCCCATTTCACTCTCTGTAGAGAGGCTCTCTCGACAGCTCCGAGTAACTCACTCGGAGATGTCGAGGGAGCCTGTTCACTCGGAGTGAGAACCCGAGCAGCGAGTTGTAGGAACAAGCCGCCGCGTCTCCAGAGACTCACAAGTAATGGGAATTTCTCATTGGAAAATGGTGACAAGCCATGCTCTTCGCACACTTCGATGCACGGTTTTACCCTCGAGTTTTCGTCGAAAACTTTTCGATCGACGCATTGATGTCGCAAACATGCTCGCTCGCAGCCCCTGCCTCGCCTGCCGACGTTCTTCGATATTTTCCGGACGCAACAAACGCCTCACCTCCATGACGCTGCCCCGGCTGATGTTAAGAGGGCTGCCGCGGCGCTCTGGCATGTAACGAATAACAAATCTCAACCCGACTCACTGCTTAGTCGCAAAGACTAACGGGGTCTAGTAGACCCGGTCTACGAGTCCACAGTATAGTATACACGATTGCCACCGATGCCCAAATCTAGCCATTGGGAGATACGGACGAGAAACGCCTCGGGCATGGTCTAGCTTCAGCTTACCCAATCATGGGCAGCCACTGCTACGAAGGTGCGAACCCTGGTCACACCGCGACTGAGAGCGCCGATCTGTCTAACAGATCAAAGGCAACCATATGCCCGCCGCAAGTCCTTTAAAGATAACGCACATTCCCCCATTGAGGGACCCCCAAAGGGACGGAAAGCAACACGTGGTCGCGGTGCGACCCGAATATGACTTACTCCGATGCACAAAAGACTCGGTTCTGAAGTCAGAGTCTGAATGAGTCCCATCGTGGACGTGCCACCATCTCAGCTACGCGTGGTCACGGCGCGACTCAAAGCACGGCTGCCCTCATCCTTGACGAATGTTGTGACCTTTGTTAACACCACTCATGATGGAGATGTTGAATGGTGTGCTGGTGTTTGTAAGTTGTCGCCGCTGGGGATCGAACCTGGGTCTTGGGGTTGTCAGGTGATCCCAGCGAGCTACCAGCCTATTTAGGAGGTGAAGTCGATGGCGATTACTATCCTTGGTTGACGACCCGTCTGGTTGGTTCTCATCTGGCGTACCGCGAGTACTGGCCTACATCCAGCGGTCCTGAGGACATCTCGAGCGCCTCTACCAGCGGTAGCGCTTCCACCTCCTTTGGGCATCAGCCGCTTGATGATACAGCGTTGCCAGCTTTGGTGAATTACGAGTCGAGATTCTGATTTTGGTTGGGTCGAACAGTTGCCAGTTAGGGAATTCGGTGTCTAGTGATCTAAATGGTGACATGGTTATGATGTCTGTCTAACACGTCTAAGGTTGCAAGTTCTATCCCCGGCGATGATATTTCGTACATGGTTTTGATGACTGTTTATTCGAGAGTTACTAAAGTTAACATTACCTTGAAAGTTGTCTGAGACTGCGTGTGACCAGTAATTTGGATACCCAGCACTGCAAACATTCGCTCCTGTATCAACGCAGATCTGTCGAGTTGTCAGTCACACGTGTTCCCATCTCCGAACTGATGGCGAGCTTCGCCAATCATGATTCTGTTGGTACCATACCAGCAGGTGTAATTGGGAACAATGACGTCCAATGAATTGCACTTCGAACCTTACACCAAGTTCACGATCGAGGGAGATCATTCGGTCATGCGGGGTTTGGCTACAGTCGGGAAGTTCACTACTGGAGAAGATTGTCCAACCAGCCTGGCATTAGGCACATCCGATGGAAAAGTAAGGGTGAGATCACCGCCGAGGATCAACATCGCCGGAGAACATCTTCGTCCCATGGCTAGGTGCTTATCATCACTCCAACCGCGGCTGGCGACAGAGACATTACTCAATTGAATATGCATAAGAAGGTTCACACAATATCGCGAGCGCCACCAGTATTCATGTACAGATAATCGCACTCACCACGTGGGTGACCACCCCACCTGATCTGCTTTGTATAGCAACCTCTAGCAGTCTGTCAGTCTTCGATGTACGTCAGCTATCCCATAATCACTAAAGGCCTTCTCACTAGGTTGAACGCAACAGTGACTTCTTCTATCGTGAGATGCCAGATGGTGTCTCAGCATTGTCAGTCGCAGACGGTCTTCCGGGGTCCTCGCCCACTGAGGGCGGCGGGTCGGTGCTGTTCGCAGAGGGCGACTGCAACATAAGAGTGAGGCACTGCTTGCGAGGCCTCCAGGCATCTCCCTAGGGCTTCGACCGAGGAGGAGGAGAGGTCTTCTGGACTATCACTGGCGACCGTGTGATGGCTTTGGACTCGTTGAAGCCCGCCGAAGACAGTCCGCAGCAGTTACCCACTTCCGTGCTCATCTGCGGTACCGACGACTATCAGGTGACGACTCACATCACAGCTTCAAACCACTGTTGAGGAAGATACGGATCCTAGCAGGAGAGGCAGAGGTCGTCGCTGATATCACTGAGGCCGATGCTGTGTGCCACCTTGTCTCCTTAGACCACCGTCACAGGTTCGGCTACGGTCTGGTAAATGGGACGGTGGGAGTCTATGAAGGCTCGAAGCGCGTAAGCCTGTACTTCGCATCGTCGCCTGCATTGCCGGCAGCTATGGCGAGTTCGTTCACGCCATGCCCCGTCGTATATCCTGGCCTTTACTCCTCACACTGAGGATAGCAAACACAGTCGTAAAGAGCTCGCAATTGGTTGGATGAACGGCTTG